CAAACCCTAAATTCCAAACCTCAAATTTCGGTGTTCCCAAACCTGAAAACCCCAGTCCCAAACCTCAAATCCCAAACCCCAAACCTCAAACCCCAAATCCCAAATCCCAAACTCCAAACCCACAAATTCCTAATCCCAAACTCCAAATTCCAAATACCCAAACCCTAAATTCCAAACCCAAATTTCTGCGCTCCCAAACCCCAAATCCCAAATCCCCAATCCCAAACCCCAAACCCCAAATCCCAAAACCCCAAACCTCAAACCTCAAACCCCAAACCCCAAACCCCAAATCCCAAATCCCAAATCCCAAACCCACAAATTCCTAATCCCAAACCTCGAATCCCAAACCCCAAATTCCAAATCCCGAAGACCAAATCCCAAATCCCCAAATCCCGGCGTTCCCAAATCCCGGTTGTCACCGGCGCTGTCACCGCCGCCAGGGGGCGCCCGCAGCCCACGCTGATCCCAACATCTGGGCACGAGAAATTCCCAGATCCAGAGGGTGCGGAGGGATCTGATCTCAACATCTGGACAGAACAAATCCCAGATCCAGGGGCTCCCGAAGATCCTGATCCCAACATCTGGGCAAGAAAAAAAATCCCATTATCCGGGGGGTGGAGAGGGATCTGATCCCAACATCTGGGCCAGAGAAATTCCCAGATCCAGGGGGTCCAGAAGGATCTCATCCCAACATCTGGAAGGAACAAATCCCATTTTCCAGGGGCTCCAGAAGATCCCGATCCCACGGGATTCTCCTGTCGTATCCTGGATGGATTCAGGCTGCAGGAAAGGTGGGAATGAGAATGAATCCCTGGGATATTCCCAAACCTGGATATTCCAGGAATTCCTGCTGGAGAGTTCAAATCCATGAAATTTTCCCCCCAAATCTGGGAATTTTTTGGGGGGGGGGGGGAATGATCCCGGATGGGATTTTTTTGCAGCTCCATCCCGAAGCCCCCAAATCCCAAATTCCCGAGCTCCCTGCCCAGAATTCCCAGCTCCGGATTTTCCAAATCCCAAATCAATCTTGATTTTTCCCATTTATTCCCATTTCCTTCTTTATTTTAATGGGAATATCAGTCAGTTTCTCACCTTTTCCTCATTCCTGCTTTCCCTGGGATTTTAAAACCAGAATCATCTGGATCCCAGGAAAAACGGAAAAAAAAATGGGAAAAATCAGGATCGGTTTGGGAATTACAGCTGGATCCGGTAGATCCTGGATGAGCCTGGAAAAATGTCAGAAAAATTCCATGAGGGAATTTATTCCAGGAATAAAATTCCCTTTTTTTTCCCCCCCCCAGAGAAAACCCCTCCCTGCAGATTTTGGAAAATTCATGGGAAATCCAATAAAAATGGGGGTGGGAGGGTGAGGAAGGGAAATTCAGGATTGGGAATAAAATTATTCCCATTTTTCTGTTGCTTTCCATGGATTTCCCATCCATGGGTCCATCCAGATGGAATCCTGGGAATGGGAAGGAAAATGGGAGCCAAGGATGAGCTTGGATTCTCCAAGGATGATCCTCTCCCAGATTTTCTCCCTGGATCCCAGAAGGATTTTTTTGGGAAATGCTCCCACTCCAAGCATTTTTGAGGGATTTTTATCCATCTGAGGCCGGACTGAAATTTCTTGGATTCACCTCGGGATGGGAGATGGGAAAACCAGAATCTGAGAGGAGCTGGAATTTCTTTGAATCCTCCACTCACGTTTCTCCTCTTCCTAAAAATCATTCCATGAATTTTATCCCGGGATCTGCAGCTCCATTCTTCCCATAAATCCCTGTCCTGGTATCCCTGCAGATTTTTTGGGATGAGAAGATGGAAAGATGGAATTCACTTCCCATGGTCTCAAGGTGGGTATTACAGAAGGAGATTCCTGCTGGGAATTCCAACCCTCGCCAGGCGTGATGTCAGCTGGGAAAAGAAAATTCCAATAGATCTGTGGAGTCTGGGATGGCTCAATGGTGTTCCCAACATTCCAGGACTGGGATATTTTTGGGAATCAGGAGGGTGGGGTCATGGACAAGAGGGTGTGCAGGGGTTTTGAGCATTCCCAGTGGGAGGATAAAATCCCGGGAATTTGCTGGGATGGGAACGGCCCAGGGACAGGGACAGAGTCCTGGTTACACCTGGATGGATTTTCCCAGATGGATTTGGGATTTGGAGTGAATCCCTCACAGCATGGGATCTGTCCCATCCATCATCCATCATCCATCCATCATCCATCCATCATCCATCATCCATCATCCATCATCCATCATCCATCATCCATCATCCATCATCCATCATCCATCCATCATCGATCCATCATCC